ATATATATATATATATATATATATATATATATATATATATATATATATATATACATAGATAGATAAATAGATAGATAGATAGATAGATAGATAGATATAGGAATACAATAGATAGATAGATAGATAGATAGATAGATAGATAGAAAGAATCCAGATAATATCTCATTTCTGAGTCCTGTTCAAACCCAAAACTATCTTTTTTATATTTTTTACTCTCGGCGGAACGTTTATTTGAACTGACAATCTTAATCCCGCTCTAAATTTCCCGCTCGGCATGTCTATTCAAACAACACAAGAGATTATTAAACTCAATTTATTGCGTTTATTAATCTTTTAATGCAAAAGATTAATAAATTCAAATTGGAAATTTTTTGCGACTTCCATCTTGAGATTTTTCAATGGCGAACTGCGGAATGAAAATGAACAGCTCATTATTTATTTGATTCTTTGAAAGCTTGATATTCCAATCGGCACTTGTACCTGGCACGAAAGTTTAGGCAATTTAGCGCTTTTAAAAAAAGTTTTCTATCTGCATTTTTACTACTCGTGTGTTTGTTGTACTTAGCAACGAAAAATAAATAAATTGAGTAAAAGCCTTAAGGTTTAACATATCTCCATAGACCAACAAAGGCGTCATTAGTTGTTTTCAATATTTAATAAACATGTACAAAAACGCACACACGCAATTCATTTTCTGCTTTTGATCTTGTGAAGCCAAAACGACGACATAAATAATCGTATATATTTTAGAAACACTATACTTGCATGGACGTTTTCTAATTTTTCAATAAATATATATATATATATATATATATATATATATATATATATATATATATACCCAAATGTCAAAGAACGAAGAATATAATTGCAATGTTCGAAACATTAATTTAAAACAGGGTTCAATATAAGTGTAGAGCGATAAATATTTATGATACACTTTTATATTATAAGATATAAGATTCTACTACAAATTTGTACATTTTGTTTCGACGTTAAATAAACAATGATGGTAATGAATGATTTTATTTAAAATTGTAATTTATGAAACATCACTTCATTTTTATATAAAATCGTTTATTACCATCATTTTTAACTACCTGATGAGACGTTCTTTATTAAACGTCGTTCTAATGTAACAGTGTATAATAAATCGCCTTCTCTCTCTCTCTGTATATATATATATATATATATATATATATATATATATATATATATATATATATATATATATATATATATATAAAAGGTTCGGTTCGAAATGCCAGTCACCTGAAGAAAGCCGGAGCGTACAACGGCCGAAACGCTGCGAATATGCTAATGAAAATGCGGATATCAATACGAATTATGTGAACATTGTAATTAATAAAGCTCCACATATTTTTTTATGTTTTCTTCTAGAAAGATTACTGAACAGTTTTGTAACAGCAATATGTCCTTTTATCTGGAGATATTTATTTATAATAAATACAAAAATGTGGCAAAAGGCCAAAAGAAGAGGATGGGGAGGGGGAAGGCTGGTCTTCTGTCTTAAAGTTAGCTAGCCACAATCACTGACCCAAAATACCACAATATCCCATACACGAAAACAACACATTCTCACTTACCATTCTTACTACATACACCATAATACCTCAGGGTCTCTATGAAGTCCTAATTAGTTCTCATATGTACAACAACTTGTCTCTTGAAACAAAAATGAAAAAATCTAACACCTATGTGCATTTACAATGTATTTCAATATATATTTACAAGAAAATAATGTTAGCAATGCCCCCACAGTATTAATTTTGAGAGAAGCGTTTGTTAATTACGACCTCCGCAGTGGTAGTGAATGCTGCACCGTCTTATTACAGATGAAGAAGAGACTTGAAGCAATAAATGTGGCCCTACAGAGGGATGCTGAGAATGCAATAGCCTGAACACATGAGCAATGCCGACGTATTAAAGAAAATGGTACAACAGTGAATCATGAGGAAAGAGGGCTTGGAAACTTTGACACTCATAGGGTGTATGGAAGGCAATAGGGACAGAAGAAAGTAGCACCATAAACTACCTAACGAGTTTGTGTAAATGTTTGGTTTGGTTGGTTTTGTTTTACGGCATATTAACCTCAATGGGTTATTTAATGCCGACAAACTTTTTATTGCTGGTAATATTTTGTTTTATCAAAAATCTATTACTGGTAATAATTTTTTCGTTCAAAAATTTATTGTTGGTAATATTTTTTTTCCTCAAAAATGTATAGCTGGTAATATTTTTTTTTCCAAAAATGTATTGCTGGTAATAGTTTTTTTCTTCAAAAATTTATTGCTGATAATATTTCTTTTATACAAAGTATTCCTGGTATTAAAATCCATTTTTACCCCAGTTTCGGGGTTAACTATTTTCCCATAGCTGAGACCCTAACAGGTGCTACCACACCGGGTCAGGGCGAACCTGGGAACACCAGCAATTAAGAGGTGGTTCCACGCTCCTCAAAACCTCCTGATAAGAGGCCTTGCTGCTGGACGTAGTTTATCGTCTTACCCAGGACGTGTAAATGTTTGGTAGAACAGGAATTACGTGAGATAGCAAAAAGACAAATTTTGCTAAGGGCTACAAAGGACAGGAAGTTGTGGAGCGTCATGATCGCTTATGTTCTGAAGGGATATGACACATTGAAGAAGTATGTATTTCGCATTATACTTTGTCTGTTTTGCTATCGTCTGATAGAAGCTGTTTTTACCTTTCACCATCATGGCGGATGGTAACCTCTTGAGTAACTCCTTCTGACTTCTCAGGTTAACGCTTACCGCTGACATGAAGTGGAAAGATTATAATGAATCAATTACTGTTAGGAAAGTCTGTTCACTGGGTCTTGCTACACATTTTTTTCCCGCCAGAATCTGATATATTTTAAAATCTGCCGTTTGCCTATGCATTGAATATTGCTATCACCTCTAATGTGCTGCTGCTCTGTATTTAGAGATTCTTGGTTAAATTCAAAGAACAATCTGCAATGTATTTGTTTCTGACTTGACATCTTGGCTTCACTGTGCCTTTATCTATAAATAGATTCATAGTAATTTTTTGATGAGATTTCCTTTTAGGTACCTTAATTATATGAATTTAAGCGCAGTGCTAGATTGGCAGTTAGGTCTCATCCTTTTACAGTTGTAATTACTCGATGGAACCGTTAGTTCTATGCTAACAATTTCTTCTCTCAAACTTCACACTTGTTGAATCCTCTGCTGGTTCCATGCTTTTCAGTCAATTTCGATCTCCTTAAAATTTAAATGCAATGTCAAGCATTGTCTTCTGTCTTAATAGCAGACAGAGAACGAAAACTACAAGAACTCCTACAGAAGTTAGAAGAAAAGCGAGAAGAAAGGATTAAACATCAACTGTAAGAAGACGGAAAGCAGGGTTGTTAGCAAAAGGATTTGCCTAAAATGACAATTACAAATAGGAGATACCATGTAGAAATATTAAAATATCTGGGAAGGGTTCAACAAAGTACGGAAGGTGCAATAACGAAATCCAAATGCGCATTTGGGATAGTCAAAGATGCCTTCCAAGAGCTAAGGAGAGTATTAATAAAGTGGAAAACTTCGTTAGAAACAAAGAAAAGAGTACTGAACTCTTACGTGATATCTGTCCTCCTGTATGGCAGCGAATGCTGGACAATCTCCTCAAAGATGAAGAAGAGACTTGAAGTAACACAAACAAAGAAAAGTGTACTGAACTGTTACATGATATCTGTCCTCCTGTATAGAAGCGAATACTGGACAATCTCCTCAAAGATGAAGACGAGACTTGAAGCAACAGAAACAAAGAAAAGTGTACTGAACTGTTACATGATATCTGTCCTCCTGTATAGAAGCGAATACTGGACAATCTCCTCAAAGATGAAGACGAGACTTGAAGCAACAGAAACAAAGAAAAGTGTACTGAACAGTTACGTGTCCTCTTTCTTGTATGACAGCGAATGCCGGACAATCCTCTCAAAGATGAAGAAGAGACTTGAAGCAATAGAAATAACGAAAAGAGTACTGAACTGTTACGTGATATCTGTCCTCCTATATGGCAGCGAATGTTGGACAATCTCCTCAAAGATGAAGAAGAGACTTGAAGCAACAGAAACAAAGAAAAGAGTACTGAACTGTTACGTGATATCTGTCCTCCTGTATGGCTACAAATGCTGGACAATATCCTCAAAGATGAAGAAGAGACTTGAAGCAATAGAAACAAAGAAAAGAGTACTGAACTGTTACGTGATATCTGTCTTCCTCAATGGCAGTGAATACTGGCTAATCTCCTAAAAAATGAAGAGCTTGAAGCAGCAAAAACGTGGTTATACAGCAGGAAGCTGAGGATACTATATGCCGATTATGATAGCAAGTTTTACAGTAAATGTAAACAAAAAGGAAACATAATGAGGAAAATCTGATAGGCAAGAGGAACAGAAGTCAAAAACGCGTAAAGTAGTTATTGTATTTTTCAAACTGTCCATTGGGGTAGATTGTTCTAGTTCCACGTGCCAGGCCTCTTCAGGTTATCAATGTTATCTCCCTATAGCTCCGCTTTATACGTTTTTGGTCGCCACGGCAGTAGAAGATTCACGTCCTGAGACCCAATAACCATTAAAGTCCTTAGGGTCGCGTATGTACCGAAGAAGCAGTACTATGCCTACTAATCTGGCGGAAACCATCCCTCTTCAGGCTGATTTTGAGTCCAGAGTTCTATTTCTGTTGGTTTCTATCTCAAGGCAGTAGTAGCCCAATTTGTTCTGCTATTTAAATTATATCTGTCGCGAGAAGAGAATGATTCATACCTTTTCCATTGGCATTTATCCGAAAATAAACGTAACGAAACCTAACGGGATTCGAACTCAGTTTACTGATTTTTTTCAAAATCGATAATTACTGCACTCCCAAATATCCTGAAGTAGAAAAGAGAAGTAGTAATAAGAATGAGGTTGAAATAAGTAATAAGTAGTAGAAGGTGAGGAGAAAAAATCATGGGGAAGCGAGCGAGGAGGAAGAAGAAAAGGGAGAAAAGGATGTAGAAGAAGAAGAAGAAGAAAAAGAAGAAGAAGAAAAAGAAGAAGAAAAGGGAGAAGATGAAGACGAAGCAAAGAGAGAAGAAGAATAAAAGGAAGAAGATGAAAGCGAAACAAAGCGAAAAGAAAGAGAAAGGGAGAAGGAAATGAAGACGAAGCAAGGAGAGAAGAAGAAGAAAAGGGAGAAGATGAAAACGAAGGAAGAAGAAGAAGAAGAAGAAGAAGAAGAAGAAGAAGAAGAAAATAAAAACGAAGAAAAGAGAGAAAAAGATGAAGAAGAAAAGGGAAAGGATGAAGATGAAGCAAAGGGAGAAAAAGAAATTGGAGAAGATGAAAATGACGCATAGGGAGAAGATGAAGAAAAGCGAGAAGAAGAAAAGGGAGAAGAAAGAGAGAAGAAGGAAAAAGGGAGAAAAAATGAAGACCAAGCAAAGAGAGAAGAAGAAAAGGGAAAATAAAATAAATATGAAGCAAAGAGAAGAAGAAGAAGAAGAAGAAGAAGAAGAAGAAGAAGAAGAAGAAGAATGAGATTAGAAAATGAGAATGATGAATAAAAATGAAAGCAAAATTGCGAGAGAAGTTGGGATTTAAAGGAAAAGAAAATCTTAACACAGAAATACAACAAAAATATCTTCCCCCACCTCACCAAAAAAAAAAAACAACAAACAAACTCCGAAATACAGTTAATGAAGGCACCGTTGAAATTCTCGGAACAGTCTATAATCTTAAAATATTGTACACAAATCAATCATGAATATTTTTTTCTCCCTCAAGCATTTGTCATCAATCTGGACGTCTTCTGTTCCTCTCTCACCCAAACTTTATTTAAAGGGACTCCGTAAATCGCACCAATCGGAAATAGACCCCCAATCAAGTGAGTCACATACGGATGACCGTGTTGGGTCCACAGGGCCATAATTTAAACAACAGTCGACGGTCTGGTGTGTGACTCATTTCAAAGATGTGCAATTCCATTACATGCCCAATCTAACAGGAGATATAAGTAAAGGTAAATAATTCATCATTGCCCCTCTCGGGTAAAGAGAAAAGATAGACACAAACCATTATTCCACACGTAGGCATGTTTAAAAGCACACTGTCACCATATTGCACATGTATATCTCAAACACTATATATCTTAACCCGTTCTCTATCTATCTATCTATCTATCTATCGTTCTCTATCTATCATCTAAACCCGTTCTCTATCTATCTATCTATCTATCTATCTATCTATCTATCTATCTATCTATCTATCTATCTAAACCCGTTCCTTATCTATCTATCTATCTATATCTATCATCTATCTATCTATCTATCTATCTATCTATCTATCTATCTCTATAAACATTGTTTTATGTGTGTACACGTACTTGAGTAGACCTGCCTATATTTTAAACAGAGAAATTAATGAAGACCGACCTAGGGATCGAAAGTTTTAATAAAAGAAATGTGTCTCGTGTCCGTAAAAAAGTCGAACGTTAATATTGGAGGAGATCGGCTGTGGTTTGACCGGAAGAGTGATGAGGAAAGGAAATTTTAATGTTTTTTTTATGCGAAATACGTCAGAGCCGCGGAGAGTTCAATTCAATTCAGTTGAAGAGCAATGCATTAATAGCGGTATGAGACACAGTTTTTTAGAATCACCCTTTTTTCAAGAAAGCTCAACCGAATTTTCCCTGAGTGTATATATATATATATATATATATATATATATATATATATATATATATATATATATATATATATATAGTTTATGAAAAACTAGGTAATCCGTATGGGTAAACCAAAGGAGGATAAAACCAGAGAGCTCAATGTAAATCCAGAGCAAATAATTTAAATAAAAACAGACCACTTTAAGATTCCATGTAATAAATTATTTCACGACAGCCCCTTTTAAAGGACTGCGGATCATCAGACTTTACTTCCAAATAATATATATATATATATATATATATATATATATATATATATATGAGCATTCTTAAATTTAAAATTCTGAAAAAAAATTTCTTTTGCTTTCAAATGTTTACTTTTCCTTTTGTCTTGCTTCATATTGTCCTTTTAGAGATATTCTTTTAGTTATATATGAAATTATACACACACACACTCACACACAGAGACACACACATAGACAAAACACACACATATAAAAATAAACAGCTAACCACTCATATTCGAGGATACCCGTCTATTAGGACGGCTAGCAAATCCCTATTGCAGACTCTCGCACAGGCACATTTGTGTTTGTTCAACACCCACGGAGCGGCTTATAGTGCAACTATGCTGAGCAGACCTTAGTTACATTTTTATGGGAGAGAGCGTTTTATCTAGCGTGATCAATAATTTGAAGAAGGCCGGCACACTCAAGCCCTCGGTCACAATGACTTGTGACTTCGTGCTAGCACAGCCATTGAAGGCCTACAAGTGTTCTGTCTACCTAATTTCATTCACAAGGCTTGGGTCAACCCTTGGTATGGTTTTCCAGGCACTTTCCAAAGCTGCCGCACGATGGGATCGATCCCTCCAGTCTGATAACATCAGGAAGTCTACTTCCTGACAAGTAAACCGTGGCGAGATTCGAATATATATATATATATATATATATATATATATATAGATAGATAGATAGATAGATAGATAGATAGATATGTATTGCATAATTAGGTTACAGATTTATTGAGGTACTTTCGTAACAAAGTACCTGTGCAAATAATATGCGTATATGTATGTACGGTCGTTACTCTTTTGTACCTAGGATCAGTGTGTAGTATCTGTCCAATGTGTCTCGGTCCGCCTTAGTTGGAATCAGGCAAGATTTCTGATGGGAAAACATATATAATGAAATGATAGCGAAAAGGACCTGGAGAAGGCGTGGAAAAGTTGAGGAAAGAATACCTGAAGTTGAAAGGAACACACACACACACACACACACACACACACACACATATATATATATATATATATATATATATATCAAGGGAAATGGGATGGGATGAATGAAGGGGTAGAGAGTTAGGTTTTCTGGCTCAATGTCAAAAGACAAAGAGAAAAATCAAGGCTGATAAAGATGGAAATTGTAAAATATGAAAATAGAGATCCATTAAACGCTTTTATTTTTGGCAATGCGAGGTAGATTGTTGCATGGCTTATGCGGATAGGTGGGAAAGATAACGGTTAACCCTAGACTTGAACAGACTAAGATTGGGGGTCGGTTCCCGAAAGTAACGGTTCGTGGGGAAAATACTGCTAGAGTGGAATTTAACCTGTCGATGAAATACGAATGGAGTTGGTTGGCTGTAATGTCAGTAACATGTCTGGTCTTAGCCGTGAAGTTTAGAATTGGTCGAACTAAGACGTGTAGTTCGTCTGACCACTTTAAATGGAAAAAAAAAAACAGCGATAGAACTGCGACAAGTTTGCGACATTTCGTCTGTAAGAAAGGGGTTGTAGGGTGGGATATAGTTTGTCACCCAAAAGGACGCGGAGACGGTTTTGGGAATCTATCAAAGCTGGAATGTGAAGAATGAGCAGCTCCTGCCCATATATGATACCAATACTCTATTTTAGACCTGGTCTGGCTCTAGTAAACGTAGAGGATAGCAGGCGGAGTCAGGTACTTACTGAAGTGGTACAGGGTACTGACCATCTTCCCAGCAGTTTTAACGATGGGTCATACGCACAAGCTACAATTGAGGCCTAGGTTGAGATTATTTCAAGGTACCTCAGTTGAGTTCCTTATATTCAATTACGCACAGATACCCTTAGGAAGGTACGAATCTATCCCTTATGCCCCCAGCTATGGGTTGAATAGCAGGGCAGATTGTTGTGGTAAACCCTCCTACAGTAGAATGAACTCTTCCTCCTCTCATAAATACTAAACCCGGAAGTCGGTTGAGCAGAGAATTTGACGCAGTGCTAACCCACTGTTCGTACACCGCTATCTAATTATTACTAACATTCTTGCTTTGTATATATATATATCTGTTATTTCAATACACTTGTTCAACCTACCTTCATCTTCTGTGTCTTTCTTTCTGGCCCCTAAACAGGCCACAACACAGACTGAGTTCTTTAAGCCTTGGTTGTCAACCAGTCTACTGCAGAAAGAAATGGCAACCTACTGCGGGAAACATCTTCTGCTTCGTCAGTCATGTATCGAAAGATACATGATCGCCTAAGCGTGTATCCCGTGAGGCACTTAACTGACTGACCGCCCTCACTGAGGGAACATCTGTTAGAGGAGATAGAACCTAAAAGAAAACGCGGCGTATGAAATATCTGCATATTTTTTTTTTATATTCCTTTCTGTCATATTAAAAGTAATGCAGGTTTCTATCTTCTTTTAGATTGCTTGTCCCTTCAGGACGTCAACGATCATGGGTCTCCACGATTTCTTCTCCCAGTCAAAAGCTCTTTTCCTAAATTACTCAACTTTTTCCTCTGACGCACATGTCTTCAATATGTCCTTCAATATGTTTCAGTTTCTCAAAACCCTCTTTCCACTTGACGTGTAATAGAAATTTAATTGTATCTTTCTGTTCCGAAGCATCAGTGTGCTTTTCGTTCTCATTTTTTTAAACCTTCTAATAGATCGCCAATAGCATTCTCATCATCCTTCTGTAGAACCACATCACTTGCCTCAAGTTTCCTCTTCCTTTGGCCGTCATTCACTTCAATATAAAAGGGTTTATATTACATAGCAGTTCAGCAATCTACACTTTTTTCTAACGATATTTTCCTTTTTTTAATACTTTGCTTAGCTATATGACGGCATTTTTCGCTATTCCAATAAATATCCAGAATTGACAGAGAGTCAAATTTCAATACCTGCTTGATTGTGATATCACCAACCCATAGCTCGCAACTTACCCTACCATAGAAGTTTCCAGTAAAATATGAAAAAAACTTCGGCAGTTGGAATTTTGGGGACACATGAAGAAAGAGGGCTCGGAGAATTTGAAACTCACAGGGCATAGTGAATGCAAATGGGTATAAATAAATATTGACTTACGTAACAAACAAGTCTGCGTAGACGGATGTCTGAACATGAACTGGGAGGGGTTATAAGGCAACACATCTTGCTTACAGGTACAAAGTATGGACGGTCGTAGAGAGCCATGATTTTTGGCGTGCTAAGAGTATAGGTCGTTAAGGGAAATATTTGTCTATACATAAGGAAATGGTTTATAAAACTTGAATAAAAGACGGGTGCCCAGGCCTTGGAGTTTGAGAGTAATGGAAGTGAGTGGGGTTCATGCCAGATTCTCCATATTGTCAGCGCCATATTATATTTGATATATTTCTGACAATGTCAAGGGAAGCATGCTAATGGTCCTTTCAGGAAGGTTGGTCGTAAATCTTGGCAATATTCTTCAGATGAATCACGTTTATGGATTTCCTCTGTCAATGTCATCTCGACATTCTTATGACTCTACCACCTCGGATTAAACTATTATTTCAAAATATCATCATCTCCTATGGGGGGTAGTAATTTGCTTTTTGAATTTACTTAATAAATCATTTTTATCTGCCATCGCCTGAGGAAGTACAATTATAGTATTGAAACATGAAAGCCTTTGTGTAGCAATGTAAACTGTTTTTATTATAATAAAAATATTATAATATATATATATACATATATATATATATATATATATATATATATATATATATATATATATATATATATATATATATATATATATATATATACACATATATATATATATATATATATATATATATATATATATATATATATATATATATATATATATATATATATATATATATATATATATTATTCTAATAAAAAGAAAGAACTATAAGATATATTATCCCGTGTTCTTATTGATATTTTTATTTTTACAAAACAGTGTTTAATGTAAATTTCAGAGCATAAATATTATAAATTAACTGATTTAAAATATGGTTTCTTCGCTACACAAGAATTACTATGTTTCAAAAACCGAAGCTAAAAACTTCACATTCAGTTATATAATTAAATTAAAAGCATTAGTTCTGTTTCATCTTCAAGCGAATTTTATATATATATATATATAT